TTGGGGGGAGTTGAAATCACCACCGGTTTGGGACCCCCAGTTATACGATTCCAAAGAGAAAGAGAGATGCCTACCGAGGCCAGTAAGAGGCCTTAGATAATCACTACATATCAGCTTGTATGTGCAAAATTTAAATGAATTTCTTTTCATTAAAGTTTTTAGCCTTTTTGAGACTCTTATAAGCCCTGCTTTGATGCTAGCCCTGAAGAACTTGAAACAACATGACCGTGGCCTTGAACTACTTCCTTCCTTCCTGAGTTTGCCAGCCAACATAGCTTAAAGACCTTAGTTACACCATTACTAACTGGGATCACAGCCAGAACTGCTTGATCCCATTATCAGATGGCCACAGTGTCACTGAAACAAAATCCTCATGTTATGATGTAAGATAAAAAATATCTCTTTAACGAAGTGTATAAAGCAAGTACCCACTAGGTCAGCTCAAGCTAGAAATTAGGGTATCTTTCTTAGTTCTTATTTTGCAAGATACAGACTGCGGCACAAAAACTCCAGAAAGAACTCTAACCACAGCAGTTAAACAAAGTACATGAGATGCCGAAAAGTCTATGTTTTGATAATTAGGACATTGATTTAGAAATATTCTTACTTATTGGAAAAGTCTTTCCAATAAACTGAATGTGCTACTTTCATTTTAGATGTTGCTTGTTAGAACAGGGCCTAGTAAATGAGAGTGGTTAGGTTCAGAGCTAGAGAGTGAATTTTAGAGAAAAGCAATAGTTGTGACTCATTCACTTTCTAAACTTTTACACACAGTCATTTACGATAATTGTTTTCTTTGCAATGTATCTCCATAAGTCTCCCTTTCGTGGTGCCCTGATTACTGGTAGCACTTTTACAGTTATTCTAACTTACACAGTGAGAGGCCGCTGGCAGTGAAAACGCTCCCCACTGGCCTTCGCACTCTCAGGGTGCCAAACCTGAAGACTAGGTCAAAGTCAGTAAGGAAAAGAGCAGCACACAGCACTCTTGGATGCTAGACCTCGTCTTTCAAGGACCGAAGGCATTTAAATGGCTTAAGAGAATGAGATGAGTTGTTGAAAATGGTCCTTTCACAAGACCTCACCGAAGGCCAAAGAGAAGATTCGCTGAGGCCAAGGTATGCGAGAATGACATTCTGCAGGACGCCTTCCTCCCCACGCTGCGGCTCCTCCAGGCTGTCCTGTGATCTGCTCTTTCTTCCTTTCCTTCCTTCCTTCCTTCCTTCCTTCCTTCCTTCCTTCCTTCCTTCCTTCATCTCTCTCTCTCTCCTTCCTTTCTTTCTTTTTCTTTCTTATTATTAAAAGGTGAATTCTGTTTCTTATGATATATGTCTATATTTCTTAGATATGTTTTATAAAGAAGGCTCAAGACTTTCATGCACAAGGATTCTTAAAATATAATTGCTCGTTCAGAAACTGATCATAGTATAGATTTTACTTTCTACTTCTGTTATTCTGTCTCAACAGTGCTAATTGGGAGTACTCAGATATTTGGAGATAAAAATATATTTTGTAAGATATGTAGTGTTTTATTGGTTGGCTTGTTGGTAAATTAATGAATATTTGACCAAAATAGAAAGAACTGTTTTACCAATTATTACTCCTCCAAATTCACTGAAATTAAGTATATTCCTAAATAATCATGTTAATGCCTTTCTTAATTGGATTTAAAAACTTATATCAAATATAGATTCACAAATAAATTCAACTGGTCTTACCTTTACACCTTCTGGAGCTGGTAGAAGTTCAGGTTCCTAGAGCAAAAGAAAATTCGTTCTGAGTTATTTTTATAAGTCAAAAAGCTCTTTTTATATTAATTGAAGAATATTATTTAAATTTTGTTGTCACAAGTATGGCCTTACCAAGTCATTCACATAATTTTTCAGCTGCTCAACAATATCTATAAGTTGACGCATTCTAGTCAAGAGGCGATCTTGCCCTTGGAGGCTTGACTTATGGGCCACTGTCCCCGAGAAGATGACCATCAGGTAGATGATTATCCTCTCCATGGTGCCAGGACTGGATCTCGTGAGTGCCAATGGAGCAAGACCTTGGTCTCAGTTTTCACTTCAGTTTGTGACCAGGTCGTCAGTAACGCTACCTATTTATTCATCCTTCAGGGAGAGGTAGAGCCCTCCCATCGCAGCCTGGAAACCTTTGTGAAGTGGATGAATGTGAGTAACGCTTTTTCTTTTCCACTGGCTAGGTGTACGTGTGTGTGCTGCTGCGTGGGGGCAGGGATCGATGGAGTCACCGAAATGTGCTCCATCTGCACCTTAGACAGGAAAAAGAGAGAAACGGGTGAATTCCAACTTTCAGCATGAATCAAAGAGTGTGCATGGTAAACAGTAGGTACTACAAGATCTGAAAGAAGTAAACAAAAACACTTTGATCTCCCTGCATCTTACCTGTTCCCCTGACAGTCATAAGGCACTTCGATAATGAGTAAAACGGCCGCGGGCGCCTTTGTGCAGGACTTTTTCTTATCGTGACAGCTATGCCTTTGACTGAAACCGTCCCATATTCCATCAGAAAGGTAGGAGGAGAGCTACCTTTTAGGAAATTTTAAAGATCAGGGGTATTTTCCAAATTAGCAAGAATATTTTAGGTTCTTAATCAGGTTAAAGGGTTTAAAGTAGAATCTGCTTCCAACTCCTCCCCCAAAGCATCGTTAAATAACCTTAACCTTGGTCCCTAACAGTTTATTTAACAGTCTGATTTCCACACAGAATGTGTGGTTCTCAGGGCCTCTGCAGAAATTCATGCCACCCCCGGTCAAGATTTCACTCTGCCTCCATTAGAAGAGACACTCTTTAATGTCGGTCTCTGCTATAGGATGCTTCAATTAAATGGCCGCAAAGCACTAATGCCTGTCCAAATCAAAAACTCTTTTTCAAACAGCAAGATTAAAAATACCCATAAATGATGCTTTTTCCCTTCGTGCAGTGTTACTTATTTCTGTCAGGTGTACTTCCCCCTGGGGATGGAGACCACAGTGCTAACTCTGACAGGCAGAAGTCGATAAGCACACCCAGAAGTGGTTTGATCGTCCTCCTCCCCGCTTCTGTCCTGGCTGCTCGCTCCTTACCGCTTCGATAAAGTTGAATATAATCTTCTAGCCACAGTCAGTTAGGTCTTACAGATAAAACTCTTACTCTAGATTTTATTTATTCCTTTATTTCATTACCTGCGCACAGCTATACTTTGTTCTAGAATGTTATGTAGCTGAGATAAATTGTAGTCTGGACTTGATTTGCTCTGAAGTTTGACTATGATCTTTTTATCATAGAATATCTATTCAAAAGTATTCAGGTTTGGTCTTCCAGAGCAAATAAGACTTCTTACGCTATGACCAAGAAATCTTCGCTATAAACATTAAATTCTGTAGGGGAGGGTTCTGTGAACCTGTGAAATGTGTAGGGACTGGGGGTTGCCGTTTGGCACCTCAACATTGCCTGTGTCGTCTTTCTGCAAGCATTCCTTATCTGCCTAAAGAGATGTGAGTCTCCTCGAAGACACTAACCACAGTGGTTAAGAGCTCAATTTCTAAATCAGAGTGCTCAAGTTCAAATTCAGGCTCTGACAAGTAGTAGCGTATATGACCTTGGCTATGTTCTTGCAACAGGAAAATAAGTGTAGAGTCTAATCACAGGGTCATGGTGAGGCTTAAACAGACATCCCGAGCAAAGGGGCTGAAGTACATAGGACATGCTATGGTCCCAGGAGGCGTGTGCCGATCGTGGACGAGGTGGGGCGGGGAGTCTGCAGGAGCCTGGACAGGCCAAACGGATCCGGGCGAGGGCCTTCGGCCGGAACACACGGCTGTGGCCTGGCTGCTTGTAAAAGGTCGAAAATCTTTGGTCTCACTGAGAGAGAAGCAAAAAAAAAACAGCCCTCTACAGCTGCCAGCCATCTATGGGGGTCTGCTCCAGCACTGGGACCGGAGGTCCTTCTGAGAGTCAGAGCCCCTGCCTTAAGTGGCTGGCCATCTCTGGGTGCCTGCTCCAGCAATGGGACCAGAGGTCCTTCTGAGAATCAGAGCCCCTGCCTTAAGTGGCACATGAGTTGTTAAGCATTTTGAATATCTCCTCGTCCTAATTCCTGGAACTTCTGAATAAGTTGCCTTCACAGGTCGCAAAGGGGACTTTGCAGCTGAGATTAAGTTCAAGATCTTGAGATGGGAGAGGATCCTGGTTTTTCCAGGAGGGCCCAGTGTCCTCACCAGAGGAAGGCAGGAATGTCAGTCGAGAAGCTTGTATGACAGAAGCAGGGGGCAGAGTGCTGTGGAGCCAGGAGGCCAGGAATGCAGGCACCTTCTAGAAGCTGGGAAAGACAAGGAACAGATTTGTCCCTAGAATCCCTCTAGAATGAATGCAGCCTTGCCAACACCTAGAGTTTGGCCCCATAAAACTTATTTTGGACTCCTGACCTCCAGAACTGTAGAATAGTAAATTTGTGTTGTTTTAAGCCACTGAATTTATGGTAATCTGTTACAGCAGCAATAGGAAAGTAATCCACCTAGATATGGAATTTTTACTCTTGAAAAAAGGTGAGAAAGAGAGGAAGCGTGGGTGATAGGGAGAGAGCCAGTAAAGGCTGGAATGTTGTTTGCTGGGCTTTGAGCGGGAAGGTGGGGGCCAGGTGGAGGGGACAAGGCATCCTGAAGGAGGGAGGGGAGTAAGATTAGTGTAGCTGCCACATGCTGAGCGACATTATCGATAAAATGTCTGGTGAGGCCTTTCTAAGAAGTCTGCTGTGTGTTGGTGAGGGCGTCTTCCTGGAGCTCAGGATTGACAGTGTTTTTCAAAGTTGTAGAGCCCAATTTGCATTTCACTTGAATTTATTGCTATGCTGATGGACTTTAGGGCAGGAATAAGGGGGCTCAGATTATTTGAATTATGTATTCTCTGCTTAGAAATTCTAATCTTATTGCTACCTTCACAGCGTCATTTCATTGGAGTCTTGCTGGCTTTTTACTCTTTAAATTGTGATCATTTTTATTATCTAGTCAGTCAGTCCTGCTATAACACTTGTATTGAAAGTGAGAATTTATTCTAACATGATAAGCATAGCATCGAACAGTTTGACTATGACAAGAATTTTGAGTTTGCTTATGTGCAGGAAACACTAGGCAAATGCGGAAAATGACAGCAGCTGAACTGAGCCGTGGAGGAGCGCGCAAAACGCACGCGCACCTCAGACACGCACGTAACCACGTGTGCGATGGCTCGCAGCCGTCCACGTCTGCTGGTGCCACTTCCCATCACGGGGACCCTCACTTGCCGTTTCTCAATAGCTTACAAGCCGCAGCCCTTCTAGGGTTCACCTCCCTGAGCAAACCTCAGGTCTTTTTCTAGATAACGTGTCATGGTTCTATAGTATTCATGTATTTTGTAACCATCTAACATGTGTAAAACAGTCTTTTTTATTAGGTTCCTATCATCTTTTTATGTGTCACTGACAAAGTTTTTTTGTTTGTTTGTTTGTTTTACGCCTACAGCACCTGGTCTTCCTAGGCGGTCTCCCATCCAAGTACTAACCAGGCCCCACCCTGCTTAGCTTCCGAGATAGACGAGATCGGGCGTGTTCGGGGCGGCGTGGCCGAAAGCACTGGCAAAGTTTTTGAGTGTGGTGCCCACCCCCTTTTCCTGTAAGCTGTGCGGTGGTTATTGTGCGGTTTTGGACAGCGCAGCGATTGTTAGAAAGCGGGTCACATTAGGACAGAATCACCTGACTTTCCTCTGAAGTGGCCACGCTCAAGCCCCGATGGCGCCTAGCGATATGCAGGAAAAGAGCGAGAGAAGGAGAAAGGGTTCGTTCTTAAGGAGGGAGAGGAAAGGGGGCGGCGGGATGAGGGAGCGGGAAGGGAAGCAAACTATCTTATTTGTACACGTGGCCCATCTGAGCTCAGAAGTTTACAAGCCCTGTGACCCTCACTTCTTCAGCACGTGTGCACCCCCGTGCGTGTGATGGGAGCCCCGGGCTGTGCACAGGGGAAGCCAAGGGGCGGCAGTCTGGCCGGAAGGCACACGCGTGGAGCAGGCTCGCCGCCCTCCCTTCGCCCCGTGTGAAGTGGTACCTGGGGGCGAGGCAGTGGGTTCTGCCAGGTGCCTTCTGTGCCATAACCCAGGTCATCACCATCAAAGTGGGAAACTTCAGTCACCTCCCCCAGGGCATTCGTGGACATATTTCAAGGAGTTTCTCTGATGTACTGCACTTCTAGACCACGTGGTCAGGGCAAGGAGGAGCCCAGGAACTGAGGGACAGTCTGGCCAGGGCAAGCAGGCCCAGGGTGACCGGCTGGGGCGAGCGGGCTGCTGGGGAGTGGGGTGAAGGGAGCAAGGAGTTGATGTGTGAACGAGAACGCTGCTCTTTGCAGGTGTGCGTGGGGAAGGCTGCACAGGCTCTGAAGCCGTGCTGGGTGCCTGTGCCTAGCTCCCCTGGCCCGTCCTCACAGCTCATCCTTGGCCGCTGTGTGCAACTCCATTTCCGCTTTCACCTGCCCTGGCCCCTCATGGGTGGAAGTAGATGCTGTGTGTGGCAAACTGGGCAGAAGGGCCTCCAGTGTCTAGAGCGATATCGGGTTATTCCAACACATGCCACTCCGACATACCAAAGATATTCAGAAGGGTGGCTTGATTCGAGGCAACCGTGACACACATCAGTGAGGCTAGAGGTCAGATGTCCTTCATTCCGTGACATACAGGATGGAGAAAAAGGATGGGAAGACTCATAGTGTTCAACCCAGTTCCACCCTGACCCCATACCACGAGACGGGACGAGTTCCAGCAGCCTCTCCCAGCCTCCTGTCCAATGTCGATGGTCGAAGAGATCCTGTTCCCTCTGGACTCCAAGCCTGCACCTGCTGCGTTCCCCGGGGTGATGGGCGGCCATAGACATCACCAGTCCTGGCCCCATCATGTGGCCAAAAAAGTCAAGAGGCACAGCACTGGCCTTTGCTGTGTCCTGGGGCGTCTCCCGAGTCACTGTTAAGAGGCACCTCCTCCCCGTGTCCTCTCGGGCAGGCTCCCGAGAGAGGCGTCCGCAGGCCGAACGCGCCTCGTTCCGGACAGCTATTTCTGCTTCTAGGGATGAGAATCATTTTTGGAAAATTACTACTTTTCATCATTGTATAT